GCTTCCTCCACTGTGGACTAGAAGTCACTTGCTCCTCTGCCTAATGGTCTCAAAGTTCCTGCCTGTTCCTCTGTGCTGTCTCATGATCTCCTTGCCTCAGTCTGAGTGGGACATGGCAACTGATGCCTGGCCACTTCAGGCAGGGCTTTCCAATGTGTTCTGCTGGTGGTTCTTCTTCCTGATGACCCCCCAAATTCTCTTTCTTCCTGCTTTGGACATGGCAACTAAAATGGACCAATCCTTCCTGTCAGTGTTACACATGCCCTATTTGCATAGTCCCACCTAATTATTTGGTGACAACTATGGAGCCATGGATGGAAGAGCCATATGAGGAAATTTCGCTTCAGGACAATTACATTAGTTGTCAAATTACACGGTTATGTATTTGCCAAACCATTGAGAACCACTAGGCTAACTCAACCCAACACAAAACCTTGAAATAGGCAGTGTTACCCTCACCTCACACATTGATGTTCATTATGGCCAGGCCTACATATCATTAATCAATGAAACATAATAGATTTTTCAAAACTCTCATTGCAAATACAGAACCCAGATAATGAGGTAAAATATAAGTGAGTCGTTGTTAGGTGATGTTGACTCTGTTCTGAACCACAGCCAAACAACAGAACAAAGCACTGCTAGGTGCTGTACCATTCTCACAATTGCTATGTTCAGCTCATTGTGGAAGTCACGGTGTCAATCTACCTTCTTGAGCATCTACCTCTTTTTCAGTCCTCCTCTACTGGACCAAGCATTGTGTCCTATTCCAGGGCCTAGTCTCTCCTGATAATAAAATATGGGAAACAGAGTATCACTATTCTTGATTCTAAGGAGCATTCTGGCTTCACTTCTTCCAAGACAGATTTGTTTGTTCTTTTGGCAGTCCATGGGTATTTTCAGTGTTCTTAACCAGCCTCATAATTTAAATGCATTCTTCTTAAGTTGTCTCTACTCAATGTTCAACTTTCAGGTGCATATGAGACAATTTAAAATACACTGGCTTAGGTCAAGGCACACCTTAGTCCTCCAAGCAACAACCTTGAGTTTCAACATTTTAAAGAATCATGCAGAAGATTTACCCAATATAATGTGTCATTTGATCTCTTGACTTCATTTTCCATGATTTTGATTGTGGATCCAAGCAAGATGGAATCCTTGACAACTACAATATTTTCTCCCCTGATCACGATATTATCTCCAGTTGTGAGAATTTTGGTCTTCTTTACACTGAGTTGTAATACATACTGAAGGTTGCAATCCTTGATCTTCATCTCCAAGTGCTTTAAGTGCTGTTCACTGTCAGC